TCTTGGGTTGGAACGCATTCATTCAGCTACTAGGGAAGAGGTATTAAGTAGCAAGAATAGTACTCTTCCTATTGAAATAACTGGGCTAAAGCTGAAAGAACATTCAGCTGCTGATGTGCACAGCTGCAAAAGAGAAGTCTAAATCTGCATGACACATGTAACTTGAACTTGGAATATCAGAAGGATGAATCAAGGGGAGCTCAAATTATAAAGCAAGAAATGGAACATTTGAACATCACAATAGTTGTTCTGAGTGAACTGGAACAGAACATATTTCAATCAGATAATTTTAAAATGTTTTGCTCCAGAAATTATTAACTCAGCGGCTATAACAGTGAGGTGTGATGTGGCATAAGCAATAATGGTCTGTAATGCAAAGTATTAGCAACCAGACTTCATGAAAAACTTATCAACATAGCTATCATTCAAGCCTGTGTTCCAATTACAGGAGCTGAAAAAAACTTAAAAGCTTTAATGCAAGTGTCCAGCAAGAAACTGATCAGATGCCAGAACAGAATATGCTTTGGCGTATGAAAGTAATAGTAGGAAATAAAGCTGAATCAAACATCGTTTAGAGGACCTGGCCTCGGAATAAGGAATGAAGCAGGAGAGCAGTTCATAGAATTCAGTGAAGCCAACAATCTGCTAGCGGCAAACATATGCAACAAGCAAGCAACTAGTTGACTGTACATCTGGACACTGCCAGATATCCAACACTGGAATCAAAAAGATTCTGTAATTGGATGCAAAAAAGGGAGAAATACTATTCTCTTCATAAACGCATCATCAGGGACAGATCATGTGGTCAAAATCATTAACTATTTATGTATTAAAAAATTAGAGATCAGCTGAAGAACAATAAACAATCATAGTACCAAAATATAATTTAAATAACACTCCTGAACAATTTAAAGATTATGTAAGGAACATTATTAAGTTCAACCAACCAGAAGAACTGTGGAATGAAATCAGAAGTTCAATAATGGAAGATTGTTCTTGCTTGGCAACCCTACTTCATGACTGAATTCCAGCCCCTCTCACACAAGTCCACCATGAGTTCTATTCATCATCATTTTAAATTAAGATTTATGTGCCATTAAGCTGATCCCAATTTATGATGACTGAAAGTTTTCTAGCTAGAAAGGATGCAGAAGTGGTTTACCAGTTTGTCTTTCATGAGCCATTCTGGGACCGTGCACATAAATCCCATCAACCACACACATTCCAGGTGATCTCAACTGGTTCCTTGGAAGGGATTTGAACCCCTGACCTTTGGCTCCATAGCTAGGCACCCCAGTCCACTGAGCTATACCAGCTGGCCAATTAGTACTATATTAAATACAAATTAAACATTGGCTTAATGAGACCATTTCATCTTTACAGTGAGGTACCAGCATGTTTATTAAAATGAAATGAAGCAGCACTTCAAAGGCAATTTAATAAAAATCACTGAGACAATCCAATTCACATGATTTGTTTTCCCAAGGAACTACTTTTTCTTCTATGAGCAACTTTCTGCCAAATGTAATTTATTCATTCTAATGGAAATCATGTTAATAGGATGAAGCAAAAATGCCTATTATAATGAAATAAAGGCTAAATGCTTGTTATAATGTAATAAAACACCATTTTAAATCAGATTCTAGAAGCCATTACCCTTGAAATTTCCCTCTAGAGGAAAATAGGAAGTAAAAATAGTGATGCAGTTTATGCTGCAAAAACACATAAGAGCATTAAAGCATAGTAGACCTTAAACCAGGGGTCCCCAACCCCCAGTCCGCGGCCAGTCCCGATCCGTGGCCTTGCCAGGACTGGGCTGCGGAACCAAATCTCCTCCCCCCTGCACACACAGATGCATGCGTGTTCCTCCCACGCATTCACGATCCCTCCCATGCATAAAAGGTTCCCTCACACACACACACACACACACACACACACACACACACACAGGCCAGTCCCGATCCGTGGCCTTGCCAGGACTGGGCTGCGGAACCAAATCTCCTGCCCCCTGCACACACAGATGCATGTGTGTTCCTCCCACGCATTCACAATCCCTCCCATGCATAAAAGGTTCCTTCCCACATATGCACAGCCCCCCCCACACACACACAGCCCCTCACACAAACACACAGATGCCCCCCACCGCCCCTGCAAAGTAAACCAGTCCATGGAAGCAAAAAGGTTGGGGACCACTGCCTTAAACAACATTTCTATAATGCAAATCTTCCATCAAATATTTGTCATGACAATGAGCATAGCAACTCAGAGAAAGAGTGGCTCTAGCAGAGCTTAATCCTTTTTAACCCAGTTTTTTTTTCTACTGATACTACAGATGACAGTAGCAGCAACTGTGTCTGCATCATGGCCGCCATTTTGAATCCTCCACAATGTCCATACCCAGCATTGTTCCAAAGAACTGTACAGTGGAAAAGCAAGGAGGGAGCTGCCACATAAAAAATGCTGAATAACACTTAGCAGGCTGGGAATGATTCTCCAGCATGGTTTATTATTTCTAGGAATGTAAGCAAGGGAGGGAAGATCAGAGGTTTTCTCAGAAAAAAGTCCTGAGAAATTTGGTCTCAGCATTCAACTCTTTCCCCAAATTCTTCTCGATTTTAAATTCTGTGGGTTGGCTGTGGGTTCACAGGAACTTTAATGTACATATTTGTGGCATCACTCTTTCCCCATAAGCTCCGTAGAGAGGTATGAAGGAGCAATGTTGTGCCCAGCTCTGGAGAAGAGGCAGAGCTATTGTTGCGCCACAAACTGTCTTTCAGTTTTCCAAAATCTTGGTTCTATTTGTATTGAGAGGGTGTTCTCAGTGTACTTTAGAGTTTCCTAAAGCCTGCTGGCTCTTTGCTTTTACCAAGCAAGGAATCACAATTATCAGAACTTACACTGCTTTCATGGATGCTGTCAAGTTCTGAAAAGTTAGTAGATAACAGAAAACCAATGAAGAACTTCTTTACACAACTTTTGTTCTTGCTTCTATTACACAATAAGACTCCCAATGTGGTGTAGTGGATAGAGTGATGGAACTCTAGCAAAAAGGGTTCAAATCCCCACTCAGCCATGGAAACTCACTGGGAGAGTGGAACAGGTGAAACCACTCCTTAAATAAAGGCCCTATTAGGGCTGCTATAAGTCAGTTCTGACTTGATGGCACAGAACACACACATAATACATAATGGGGGAGGAAGATATGGATTTTGGAGAGTGGAAGGATAATGTAGGTTTTTCAATTCTATCTCTTAACCTGAATTATACTCGTAGGAAAAATTCAATTTAGTTACCCTGTATTAACACTAGAAAACATGTTAATAAGATATTTACATCAATGATATCTTGTCATTCGGGCAAAACGTGTAGTGATAGAACAAGAGGTGCAAACATTTGTGTTTTTGAACTACACATTTGTATTTTTAGACTAAAGAATTCTGAGAGTTGCAACCCAAAGCCACAAGCCTACATAACTCTAGGGATAACACTGAAAAATTCCAATAAAGTTAGGCCGGTAACTATAACTTGTAGGATTCTGGTCATAATAAAGCAATGCAGTCCAACTAATATACTGTGTGGATGCATTCTTTCAATTCTTTTCTTTTCTTTTTAAATAACAGTGATCTACCTCTAGCTGTGTCTTTTTGTCTTCAGTCTTCTATTGCCCTCCAGTGGTCATACCACTATATATCATGCTCTGAACTTCTAACCAATATAAACATGTACGTACAGTATTTGTTATAAGAGGATATTTATGTGCAGCATTAAATGTCTCTGACATATCAGTGGTTCTATAAATAATATTAGAGACTGAAGAAAGGCAAGGATTATCAAAACATTGTCCCGCTCTTGTTGTCTGTGGAAGCATCCCAAGTACAATTCCGCTTGGGGAAATTTGCATGTATATATTCGGAGCTAAACTGTGCATTACAAATAAAACAGCCCATTATTAGAACCTGGAAATCTGCACGCTTCAGGCTGGCTTTTGTGGTGGAACAGTCATATCTGCACACGTAGCTCATTTTTATATCAGAAGGCCCATCACAAAACAAGTTGGCAAGAAAAGTTGGGGAGAGGAAAATTACTATAATGCTTTACATTTTAACAGATGTATTATAGCATGAGTTTTCATGGACGAAAACTACTTCATTACAAAGCAACCTTATTTGCTTGCTGATTGATTGATCGATCCCCAAAACACTGGAGTCCTGTTTTTCCATCTTTAAAATATGTTCCAACTGTGTGAAATATTAACATAAAATTAGGCAATACTTTGTTTTCTTACCACTACCTCACAACACTATGTCCCAATGAAAAAAACAAGTATTTGGGAGCATGTTAAAAAGTGGTGACAAGCTGTACTGCAATGAAGTCCTAAACACAGGCTCTGATGCAGAAGAGTTATTCTATCTTTTAAAAAGTCCTCTCAACCTTGGATATCAATATCTATTCTGTCCTCCACAGATTTTGCAAATGAAATATTGCACAAAGTACCATGAGAAGTTGAGCTGACAAAATGTGCTACCTCAGACAACAAACTGGACCTAGCATTCCTTCCATACACATGGAAGGGCTACTTTCTGTTTGCTGAAGGGACTCGAGGCTTCTGCTGGAAGATATAATGAAATATTTTTTGGAAATAATTCACTTCCTCCTGCAACCCCTTTCCCCCAGCTACCTTCCACATTAGTTTCTTCTCAAATATAAGGACACAAAAACTCCAGACACAGCTTTTTGTTTCGTTTCTCTTCTCTGCTATTTGTAAGACCTCGTTGGACAGCCACTTTGCTTTCTTGTATTTCCTTTTCTTTGGGATGGTTTTTGTTGCTGCCTCCTGCTTCATTTTGAACTCCTTTGACTGCTTCGTTTTGAACTCCAAGGCCAAACTTACCTGTTGTTCCTTTCTCGACTCCCTACTTTAGCATTCCAGTCCCCTACAATGAGAAGAACATATGATTTCCCTTACACAATAATAAATCTGCACTTGGATTCAGGCCAATATGACGTTTGTCATGTTTTGTGAAAAAGAAAGCAAAGGTATGGCTACCAATGTATCACATGAATGCAATTAAAATACATTTTAAGTTTTTTACAGCTTATTTTTTAAAAAAAATACACAAAAGGCACACTCCAGTGGTTACAGGCTTCTGTATCATGGATTGCTCACTCAGCTATTTTTCAAGTTGTGGATTTATGTCAAGAACTCTGCAATTAGTGAACTTTGAAAGAAAAGTATGTTACCTTGGTGTGCCTCCTTAGTTCTTAAGCAGCTGCAGTTGCTCTTGACCTTTGCCCATGTTGCTGAGAGCTACAGTCCAAAACATCTGGGGGAGTAGTTTGTGGAAAGCAATCTTTTTGAAAAGTTTCAGAGGACTTTTATGCTTAAGACAAGTATGACAAGTGGAGGCCCAGTGCTATTCCCAGCTCCTAACAAAGGACTTGTAAAAAGTCTCCAATGGCTTTTAAAAGATTAAACTTGTTTTACTGTTTTATTGAGGGGGAAAACCCTACTCTGTTTCACCTGTGATTTATTTTTATTATCTAATTTGTGGAAACATTAACTCTCTGCTTTTTTAACCGTTGTTTTGCCATAGCTTCATGGTTTATATTAGAATTATCTATACAGTACGCCTGTACAATGGGTGCAGAAGGACAGCAGAAATAGGATTTTCATTCACCCTCCCCCCATCCTTTGTCCATCTAATGAGCCTATTGAGACCAGAGGGAAATGAAAGCAACATGGAGGATATACCAGGGGGCTCCTACCAACTCTCCTCAGACTGAAGAAGCTACTTGGATGAGTAGCAAAACATTTCAACCTAGTAAGAAAGAAGTCCAGTTGCCATGGTTCAACTTCCAGATTAGAGTTAGCTCTGCATGGTTGATCTCTGCTTTTGTTGTTTGTTTTTTCAACAATTAATGTGTAACAAGATAGCTGTATTAGTCTTTTTCAGCATGCTTTAACAGCCCCCCTCCAGAGGAGGAAAAAAAACCTCAAAGGCAAAAAGGTATTGAGGCACCTTTGATAGTAGCAGATTTATTTCAACATAGCTTTTCATGGATCAAACTCCACTTTTTCCAATGCATGGAGATGAATGAATGAATTTATTTATTACGGTCGGGTGACCAGCTCATAAAACATATTATATGGCTAAAATATACAAAATGCAATTTAAAAGGTGTTTTTATTATTGTACAACGCTGCCCACAGCTGTTATAGCTCAGGGGACTGGAGCACCCAGTTCCAATACTCAGTATTTACTCTTTGCTTATCTATTTTTCAATACATATTCAGCAAATGTGCTAGAGCAAGCCAACTCAGAAAGATTTCTTGGACTACGGGTGTAGGAAGGAATCACCTCCCTGATGGAAGTATTATCTCCATCAAAACAATAGTGGATTCTGGCTAAATTTCAAAAGAAGAATATGAGACTTTTCCTAAAACTTTACTCAAAGTAAGGCTGAAAGCAAAGCTGAGACAGATGTAAAAACTGCAGCTGTGACAGAATGGATTTTCAGCATTCATTATAATCTGCTAGTTAAAATATCTAAATTAAATGCAGCACAGGCCCTCGTGTTTCCAAGGTGATTTTCAATACTCAGCAAAAGCAAACTGCCTGCTCCCATCTTAGAAATGCAGTATGTATTGAAGGTGAAGCTCAGTGGCAGAGCACATGCTCTGCATGCATAAAGCTCTACATCTCCATTTGGAAAATAGACGGTACTGTACTGGAAATGGCTTTTTTAGTTCTTTTGAGGGCAGCAGCTTCACAATTTGAAAGTAAAACTGAGGGCTTGAAAATCCTTCTATTGGAGGATAATTAATGTCTTTTATTTCTTAAGGTAGCTTCACTTCTAACAGCAAAGCTGCCGTTTCCTCTACGTAGTTTGGCCCTGAGAGCCTACAGAGCTGCTCCCAGTCAAGATAAACATTGTGGTAGCTGACCCCTCTTTGTGACTGATAGGGCAGAAGGCACAGCAAGCGGTGGATGGAGCAAGAGGCAAATGTAAGTATTCACACACAGAGACACGGAGGCATGCTCTCACACACTTTTAGAGGCAAGCAAGCATCCACACATATTCGAACATGCAGAGTGAAGCCTTTGTCCTCCCACAAGGAAGCAGGCAGGTGTGGAACGGATGGGACACGCTTGGCCTGAGGTGGAACATCACTTGCTGGCTAAACAGATACACAATTCAAGTTGGCCTAAGGTACCTTCTAGTTTCAACATGCCAGTTTTTCCTAATCCAGCACTGACCTGATAAATTGCACTTTAATTCCCATCATTCTTCTCACTAGTGCAACACTTATGGAAGGCACCAGGTTGAAGACAGTTGCCAGATATATTTAGGGCTGTGAGCTTCTTAGTAATGGGAATAGATTGCCTCATAAGGTTGTGGGCTTTCCTTCACCAGAAGCTTTTACAAGTGACCATCTATCAGGAGCAAGGCCAGTCACACCATGCATCAGAGTGAAGCAACCAAGTGAAGCAACAGACAATATGGGGCAGTACTAGGAGGCTTCAGGGCTGTTTCTCCAGAGGCCCCCCCCCATGTCTTCATGGGTGCCCATAGGAGTACAAAAGAGGCTTTGTTCCCTGAATCCCACATTCCTGCTGATGTCCAGGAAACTGGTGAAAACAGTTATATGAAGCTGACTTCAATAACTGATGCCCCAGATGATGTTCATTAATTTAAAAAATTACCAATTTTTTTGGTCTTGTTCATTTTCTTTTCGTACAAATTTTCAGTCTACACCTGTGAATCACCATATTGTTGAATGCACTGTCATGTGTGTGGGGAGTTCCCGTGGGGCTTTAAATTTTAATCCGTAAACTGCACTGATTACTGTTCACACTAAAGAGGCAGTACTTAAATCAAATAAATCTATTATTTTAGTGTATGCAGACAGACACACTGTATTGTATTGGCATGACCTATGCATGTCAATTATGCTGACATACAAATATGCAGCTTTGCCTATCCTGCATAGGCTGTGCCTGATCTAATCGACTGCCTCCCCATCCATGGCCTCTCCAGTCACCCTATATATGTGAAGTGGAAAGAGGGCACCATCATCAATCTTGTTCTTTACCTCAGGCTGCAAAGTATCCTGGGCCAACTCCAGGTGCAGCACCGGTCCTGCTAGATCAGTGGTTCTTAACCTTGGATAACCCAGATGTTCTTGGACTGCAAGTCCCAGAAGCACCAACTAGCATAGCTGGTGGCGAAGGTTTCTGGGAATTGCAGTCCAAGAACACCTAGCTTATCTAAGGTTAAGAACCACTGTGCTAGATGATCACTATAATCCTACTAACATTAAATTTTGTTGACTTCTGGGCTGAATAATAAAGTTATGTTATGTGCTGTCAAGTCACCCGGTGACCCTACCAACGAGCAGTCTCCAAAGTGTCCTGCCCTTAATAGTCCTGCTCGGTTCCCATAGACCTAAAACTGTGGTTCCTTTAGAGAGTCAGTCTGTCTTATACTTGGCCTTCCTCTTTTCCTGCTGCCTTCCACCTTTCCTAGAATTATTGTCCTTCCCTGAGAGTCCTGCCTTCTCCTGAGGTGCCCAAAGTCGGACAGGCTCAGCTTCAACATTAACATGACTAAAGGATGGCGCGTTGCTTTCCGGCTCAACCGTCGTCCCGGTCCTTCTGCAAAGGCCTGGACGAGGGCGACCGGTCGGCGTCTCCCCCAAAGCCCGCGCGGCCTCCTTTCTTTCCCCCTTCCTCTCCCAACCGTGTGTAACCTGACCCGAGCACC